AATTAGAAATATTGAAATTCAAGATTTATGGAAACGAAGAAAATGGATAGATATGCACACTGAAATTGATTTCAAGTCATGTCGACTGAAGTCATAAAAAACTGATTTCTAGCAAAATGTTCCCATGAAGTATATCTGGAGGCCTGATATCTTCCAAAAGACATGAAAGTATCGTTCGACAGAACATTATTATATCTGCTTAGTGTTTTTTCCCATCCGACTTTTTATACATATATTACTTCTATGAAAACAGTATTACATAGACACCTATATAATGTTCACATTTTACTCTTTTATCGTATATTATGGGGATTGGCCAAAATTAGGAATCCATAATGGAAATCCCAGCAGCAGGAACGGTTCAGATTGGACTACATTTTATTCCACAAGCAACACTGGATTCGGAGCAGATATATATCTTCATTAAAGATGAACAAGGCAAAAATTTGGAAACATTTTTAATCACTGCTCAATATTATTAATGTTTACCTAAAATAAAATCCGATTTATTCACAACTCAGCATAAATTCTTTATTAATTAGAACCTTATCAGCATTGTATAACTAGTGACCTTTGAAAAAGTCATACAGTAAAACCAGTCTCTCGCGTAAACTTAGATATTCAACACATATAACTAAGGTAAATTATAAATTTTTCACTGGCTAGTTTGTCGAATCTACAATGAATGATATCATTTACATCTCTCTTCGAGAGCATTATACGTTAATGATTTTAAGGGAAAGCTAGTATATTTACCGAAATTTACTGAAAATACTTGAAACTTCTAGTCACTACTAAGTAATAGAAAATAGATTAATGTCCCATATTCAAGTCGTAAGAAGTAAGGTATGAATATACAATACTTAGTTTTGAATTGAGGCTACACTTCAGCAAAATCCTACGTATCAATTCTGATACTTTACTTTGATATAGAGATGAGAAAATGCTTACACAGTTACGAATCTCAATGGTATTTACTTTAGGGATAACTTCATACTGTGCATTACTGAGTGTTTGGATATTCACACAGAAGTATATGGAACCCAGTTATTACGCAGACAGGTAACTACTTGGTTAAACCGCTTGACTTCCAACCGACCAATCAAAAGTCGAGCTGCTTCTGTTTTTATGGCACCTTTTATTTTCGAATTCTTTGACATGTGCCCAAAAAATAGGGACATATACTCTTATACATGTTCTTATAATGTGCTTTGTCACGCACAATGTGTTAATTCACTTTAAAGGTGTTCAACAGCGGGATCTAGGTTTATATACTCAGCTTTAAAATATTTATTTTATTTTACGGATAGTGATACGAACGTTGATAATTTGTCCAGGATCGATCTACGACAATCCCCCTAAGTAATTAACAAGTAAAGGACATCTTGTTTAAACTTCGCCAAACCGAAGTAGATAGAGTTTATTCACAAATGTACATATTACAGTAATAATCCCTGTCACTGAAATTTTAAGTTACCAATGCCCAGTATTTAATATTGATATATTTCAATACGTATACCGTTGTGAGCAACGGACAAGAAAACGAGATAAAAATGAATTTATATCATTTTCCCGCAACTGTTTCCGATTTGTTTAATTAATATTAACTTAGGAAAGTGAGTTCCACGGGAAATAAAATATAATCATTTGTTGTAAGACTATCTACTCCAGTTAGTTCGTTCAAATTCAAATTGAAGTAACTACGATTGTTCCTCTGACTGATCACCAGTTATTACACTTGAAGTGGCAAAAAGTTCATGCTACGTTTGGTTTTTTGGCAATTAGTTGTTCTAGAGATAACTCATGACCGACTCAATCCTTTTCTACGTACAGTAAGAAATATTTTCCATGTACGCTAGAACTAGCCATACAGATGTGAGAACGCCGACTTCATGAAATGCTTCGATCTGGGCACCCGGGCAGTATCATAGCTCTCACACAACTGTGTCCCATATATATCCGGACATAAAACACACTTGTGAAACAATAATGAACAAGCATATACATCCCGTACCGTGAGAAAGACAGCATTATTTGAATCAGTAATACTGATACCACCTTGGAGTTGTAAGTGATGCACCACGCTGGCTGCATGATGACGACTGTGTGGTACTAAAAAACTATGTACTCCACTACCGGAATATATTCCATCAACTGATGACGTTAGTACAATGTAAAATATAAAAGTTGAATAAGAAATGCTTTTTGCATTCATATGTTTCGCACGTGCATGTGAATAGCAGAACGATAAGAGGGCGGTGAATATGGAAATTGGCGTTCCAGTAGAAATCAGTGAACAAAGGGTGACTCGATCTCTATATATAGCGAATACTATATAGACTACAGACAACCAATTAGAGTACAGGTCATATGAAGACAGAAAAACGTACAATAACTGACAAGCCGACAAGCAAAAAGACTGAGTAGGCGCATAACTTTGAGATCAACAGGCTACATTCCGTAAGAATCGGTCGTACACAAACCACATCCCGACAATACGGATCATCGTTGAACAATCCGCTGAGTGGAGCTCGTCACTATACATCAACTTCATTGACTATGAGAAGGCATTTGACAGTGCGGATAGGAGTACATTGTAGAAACTTATACACCATGGAGTGCCTGAGAAAATCGTCAACATCATACGGACTACAGTGCGAAGTCGTGCATGGACAGCATTCCTACAATTGAAGAACGTATGTAATTCAAAAAGCTGTCAAACAATATCCAAGTCAGAATCTTCAATATGAACGTCAAGATATTTCGACTGTACGGAGCTGAAACTTAGAGAAGTACCACAACCATCATCAAAAAGGTACAATCATTTATAAACAATTGTCTACGTAAGATACTCAATATCCGTTGACCGGACACCATCAACAACATCCTACTGTGAGAGAACAAACCAGCTTCCCGCTGATGAGAAAATTAGGAAAAGACGTTGGGAGTGAATAAGACACACACTGAGGAAATCACTACACTGCATCTTGAGGCAAGTGCTAACTTGGAATCCTGAAGGGAAACGGAAGGCCGTACAACACACTGAGTCTGGAATTAGAAGCAGACATGAAAAGCATTTTCCAGGACAGGGTTGGAAGGAGAGTGTTGGTGGGTGGTTTATGCTCCTCGACGAGGTGTAACATGCGTAACAAATATATGTACAGAATAAACTTACGTAGGCGCTCGTTAGAAGTTTATACATGTTAATATGTAATTAGACCAGATTAACAAACATTAATGCATATTGATAATAATCCATGTTCTGTGCCTAGAATTTGAGTATACGACTTCTATTGGGATTATTCAATTAACTTGACGGTACATGTAGTTAAAGAAATATAACAAATTACTCAGTTATTTTAACGGGAAAGGTGCAAGGATGACCATTATGTCATCAATCTATGACGTCAGTGACTCATGATTACAGCCATGTAAGAAGGTACAAGGTTTCCAACTAGGTTACAGACAACTTAGACCAATGGTCAGAAACTTTAGATATATCTTCAAAATGAATACAATGGTAAGGATACATCCACTAGCTCTCGAACATCATTTAATTCGACAAAGTCATCCCCCATTATTTATTCTTTCGTCTTTCCCCCATTCTCATTGCTTATGCTTTATCCTTGTTGATTCCCGCTGTCCTGTGGTAAAACTTAGATAAATATTACCTCCAAGTCCTAACTTTTTTCCTCGACTTTCATCATTCATTCTAGTGAACAAAAGACATATGTTTCATACAAAATGTGGATGACGTTTCTCTACAAATAAATTAGTCATAGAGTGCATGACTTCCGTACTCACTTTAGTGTAAACAGTCGATATAGGAAATTTGCGGGCACTTTCACGAATGACCCGACACAACCATACTGACTAAATAAAGACTGAGAGAATAACTACTTTCAAAGCATCATATTGAATTACCAGAATACTCATTAATTTAAATAATGTTCCCCACATTTGGAAAAACGAACAAAAACCTACTTCCGATTTAATCACTCATAAAGATTACTGTTCAAGGTAAGCTTGAGGTAATGCTACATGCTGAAGAATTTTCACCGCAAGTCACAAAGTAGCGTGTAACAAAAGACTTTAGGGGCTATCATGATATAAATACCGATCTTCCTTGTATCAATCTTAGATCATTGGCAAAAGAAACTCCTGTAATACAGCCATTGCACAAGGGATAAACTCTCTTGGGAGAATTCACGTCGCAAATCCGTCATTCCCTTTTAAAACAGCACACCGAAGTAGGTACTGCTTCTATACTCTTAATCCCTATGTTTTAGGTTAAGAACCGCACCACCCATTTCGTCAGCTAGGTATTATCACCAACCCTGTGTGACTCAACACCAATTACATAAATATGCACTTTTTAAATGAGTGGGATTACTAATATTTATTTATTTATTTGAACACATAAATATTGGTACAGTGGGGCACCAAATATATATGCGCCACACGGGATTACTAATAACTTATTACTAGGAATTTCATCACCACTTTTTCTATCCGACATTCAGTGTTAGGTTGAGAGCAGAATTACTACTCCAAATAATTCGCACTCTTCTGGGACTTTATAGATCGTATATATACTACGTCATATCATTGGAATATTTACGCTAAACCTAACTCTTTACTTGTCAAGTGCAGTCAAAATAAATTTAGATTCCCTATTAATCCATTCACAAGTCTATTAAAACAACCCTGATCATTAGTCATCTCGAAGACCTATGAACATAACGGAAAGATTAACCTGTAGGTCCTGGCTTTTCGTGAAATTGGAAAAATCATACACTATGAAGAAATGGAGTCTATTCACAAAAATTCCTACAAGTGGCCATTCAAATTACAAAACGCGAGCAGTGTGATTTGTTTGCAATACTCTTTCATGTAGTCCAATGCAATACACTGGTTTCATCGATAATGTGACAAAATACATGCAAAATTTAATTCGTTCTGAGGGATAGATACAAGTAATAACCCTGGCTTGTCATTTTTCAAATTATTTGGTCCAGCTCTTTCGTATAGTCAAGCATTACTCGTGTCACATGGGCAGACGGGATGGCATCATCCGCCCGTTTCTTATGTTTTGGGAAATGAAAAGTATCATCCAGTAAATTCCATGCTCTCTAAAAAATGTTCGGAAGTGTCCAAATACATACCTTCTCAGCAAATAATTTTGTTTCATTGTTTGAACTAAAAAATAACATAGGAGTAGCATCTTTGAGTGACAACGTTTCATATGCATGCTCTATACAAGAGGCCACTTCCTCTCTAAGAAAAACGTAAACTAGTGTCCACACTTTACCTGGTTGCGTTCAAAAATATATCGATGAAGAAATCGTATCTCTTGGACGGCACGTTACCCTTGGATAGGAAGACCTTGTGAAAGTTGCCTTCCATCAAATACTGCTCCATGGAGACTGGGTGATTGATATATACACTGGAAGTAATTTCTTCAATTGTAAGCCGTTCTAATTCCTATACCTGGGTAAGCAATTAATATGGTTCTTACAACGTGGAAATCAGCTAGTCTACGCTGAGACAACAAAAACAGTAGGTTTAGCCCAAGAAGTTCATACTTATAAGGCGAGTCTGGGAGATTTCCCCTAAAATAAGGATTATAGGACACACATTAACGAACCTACTTATAGTCATAGTAGTAGCACTTTAACTGAGACATATAATGTTCGAAAGCAGGGATATCTTGTTTCTCGGAACACAACATAGCTGCTATTTCCAGCGTGCTTCCTTAAGATACAAACTAGTCAAGAAAATTAACATACTGGCAACAAGAAGCTCACGTCGGGAAGCTTCTGATTCATTTTTCGGAAGGAACGCACATCTAGTTAATCCAGACTAATACTATCAAACAAAGATATATCTCTTACTGTTATTTCTTCGACTTTCCTTAGGCAATCTTCTACATCGTGATTTTTCTTGTTCCACTCATTATCAAGATTCTGGAGTTTGCGACACAAATCCTCGGTTGTCTGAATCATAACCCGCCTGTGTTGAACTTGTAAGGGTCACATCCAATATCCAATGTATCAAGGATATTTGTCACGAATGGTTCAAATGGTTCTAGACGGATTAAAAGAGGCTTTTGCTTAACGGGGCTCCGAGCTTGTATGTACTCATTGATTTCCTTGTGCTCAATACTTGTTACCTCAGTATGGTCCCATATGTATGGCTCTCATAATCGGTGATGGGTCAGCTACTCAACTGAAATAAATTAAATCCGTATGGTATATTAACTGTGGATTTGTTTATCTTATAGTTTGAGTATGCTTGTCTCAGAGAAGTAGGGTTTCTGGAAACCCAAAAGCTGTCATATCACCAGGCAGGAGGTTAGTTAATTGCAACGTGAAAAATAATAAATTGATAATTTGAGTACGAAGATATGATTGTTTCAAAAGTACTATATAGACTAACTAATTAATTGCAATGCAGACGGTGCAAGAATGCGGAATCAAAGGAATGAAGAGTTTCGGTATCTATCAGCAGTGGATCACCGATTCCCCTAGGTAAGGACCTAGTTATGTCAAACTAGCCTGGGAGAAACATAGGAAAATTAAAATGACATAATGTTGTTGAGAATGTGCAAAGTTTCGTTCCGAAAATCTTCTGGTAAGTCGCTTGGTCCATAGGTGACAGCAGATTGCTGGGTTTAATTACCCGTGAAGAATAAAAGGTGAGTCTACATTCCTTTCTGCTGTTATGTCTCAAATTTCTGGATATTGACTTTAAGGTTAATGCTGGTACTGAGCTTTATTGAGTGTTTAGGAGAGTTTCCAGGAATAGTTTATGTTCTTAACTATCAGGAGTTTACCTATGAAACTGGTACTCTAATGAGCAAAGGTCTAGTGATTTGAGGCGCTGTCCGTAAAGTCTGAACTTCGGTCGTCGGACCTATTTTATGGGTCACGTTTAGATACTTTTCAGTGCATTCTTTTCCTTTCTGAAGAAATTAGGCAACTCTATATTTTCGTAAACAAAATGGAGCGGAATAAAACTTCTGAAAATCAAATGAAACTTCTTGCTGTCAAGCTTGTCAAAGATGCCATTTCACGTAACCAGTGTATGATGTGCTCACAAAGCATGTTCATCATAGTCAGCTTGGGTTTGAGATCATAGCGTACTGAGACTTATATCATTTTCAACTTGAGACACAACTGGGAAGTGTGTAAGTTGTATGTTCAGTTATTAATATATCTCCGATGAATATGCTTTACACTTAAAATGTTGAAAATGAGTTCTTATTCACCCAAGTTTTATGTCGTGTCGAATTCTCTGTGTCTGCTTATCATCGTGGTTACAAGCTTCTCTTCAAAGTTTAATTCTCCAGCAATAAGTAATGACTGGGATAATACTTATTGGGGACGGTAATTTACATAAACCAAATACAATAGAGACCCTGGTACGGAACTCTTTGCAACCCCACTAGTATATTCTGAAAGCAAGTATACTTTGACCTTCGAAATTAGTTGTTAAACTCATCATCAGTAACTTGATACCAAGTATCCTGAACTTCTTGACGAGACGTTACCCAAAGCTTTTAGGAAGTTCAGGTTTTTTACATTTATTTTCCCCTTGCTTTCGAAGATAATTGTCTATCTATCAATTTCAGTCAGAGGGTTGACGAGGCAACAGTCGACTTTCTTGAGACCTTGTTTCAGGGGTGAAAACCATTTCGTGGGAAGCAAACAATCACGTAGATCGTCCCACACTTAAAGCTTGATAACATTCGAGGGAAAGAAGTGCAACCGGTAAGTAGCATAAAGTTTGATTAGGCCGGCCATCCTCGAATTTCCGTGTTATGTTCGCCGGCTTCCAGTTTTCGGTGACAGCGTCGTCGGCTGGGGGGTTCGAGAACATTAAAATGAATGGTGTCACCAAATTTTTGAAGTCCCTCTCAGTATCGAAGACCAAAATAAATTATTCAGGAGAAATGTCTTGATCAAAAGCTACAACAGCTGATGCACCATTGCGGTACTCTTCTTTACTTCTACGACTCCAGGTAGGTTTCAGGTGAGGCCCTCGTCGATGCAGGCTGTAAATAACGGTTGAAATGTTTGAACATAATGTTTTCTCAGGACTTGTGCGGAAAAAGCTTCTCAAGTTGGAGAAAAATTTTTCAATCAGCTTTACCTCATACTGAATCCTATATTATCTTTGCCCCTCTGTCTACGGGTTCTATTCTTGTTCCAGCTGCTTATAAGTGCTGTCATCACTAGCCCGTTTGTTTCCCTTTTCAATATTGTCTTTCACTTTCAAGCATTCAAAGAGAGCTGCTTTACATAGCCGTAGGTCTCTTCTAACTTTTAATGGCATTTTGTTGTATTGAATTATTTGTAGCCCGTAAGATTGTGTGTAATAAATTTCATATGTATCATCATCCATTTTATCTTAGTGGGCCGTATATAAATGGACAGGAAGCTCACTTTAGGATGTTTACGACGAAACTGCACTTCGAACATAGTATTGAAGATGCCACAGGTATTCGGAGTTTGACAACGCTTTCACCAGTAACACCTAATATGAATCGTACCCACCAAGTGAAACCAAAAGACAGAAGCGAGGAGGTACGAAGATATATTTGATGAGCTATCAATATATCGAGGACCGTCTAAACTAATCTGGCTAGCGGTTGCAGTAGATATTGAGCACGGCGTTCCCACACGTGATCTGGTGCGGATGCATGAACGAACGCCTTCAGCTAGATGAGTCCATTTAGACTAACGTGGTCAGCATCCAATGTCGATAACTTATAGAGCTATTTATTTTGGGGATTTATCTACCGCTACAGTATATTAAGAAGTATCTTTAAAGCCCCCGTTGTATTGTGGGAATTAAGTGGCAATCAGGGAATCCTAAATGCTATCAGCGCAAATGGACGTTACAAGAAAGAGTCTTAGATTATTCGAGTGTTTGTTATCCTTCCCTCGAATAATCCTTGTGAACTTCGATGGTCCTATTTTGTGAAGCTTGAGATCTCTTTAAATCCTGTCAAAACATCTTATCGTTTTTGTCCTGGGAAAAAAAGGAAGGCCAGACAGGTCTTTATGGTTCATAAATATCAAGAACTCATGATGACTTCTGTTCGTTTTCTGAGGTTATTAATGTGTGAAGCTTGGTGTCATTTTTGATTAATCTCTGCACTGTGATCCGGATTACTGTATTTTTTGCTGATGGGATGGGCAACATTGAGAGTAGATTGTACGAGTGGTTTCCTTCAGACATTTGGACTGCTGAGCGTTTTTGACGGTGACCTTCGATCTATTTAAGAATCTGTGATATCTTTGGCGTTGAGCCCTACTCAGTCTGGTGCACCGTGCAAACGAGCGTGAATCTGTTCCTTTGTTGGCATTATATGAAAACATTTTCACATAGCCTGATATTATTCACATATTTATGTGCTTGATTCCTAATATATCTGAAGATAAACCTATAGGTTGAGATGTTCAGGAGGGGTTAGTGATGACATCAATTTTAATGATATGTTGCATGAAGCATGTCATTTTACCGGCAAGATTAAATTGTTGTATGTGCCACAGGCTTTACTTTAATAAGTTGCCTATTTAGGTTGATGTATAATAAGGCACAGTTTTCATGGACACGTAGGATACATTTTTAGACACTAGAATATTAATTTTAGTACGACTCTAATGTTAAAAATAGGAGTTAGCGCGTTTTGTGTAGGTTGCGTTACAACAACCAACTGGTGGTCGAGCCTGAATGTCACTAAAGACGAGAGCTGTTTGTAAAAAATACTAATGCGCTAAACCAATAACCGGTCAGTCAAAAACGTCAACTTCAACGTGATATTTTGTGTTTCCTGATACCTGGATCAACCCCAAATCTGTCATGTGACTCGTTTCCAGTTCATTTCAGCTTCCTAGTATTTTGACGGCAAGCTTTGAAAATACATGAAGTCCTATTGTCGTGATGTGTATTTTTGCTGGTTGTACGTGGTTTATTTCTGCTTGTTTCGTGAAGTTAAAGATATTTACGAGTTGGGAGTATCGGTCGATCATATGTTTTATTGTGATTGGGGATACTACACAACCAGAATATAATCCGCGAAAAATAATCGGTCATTTCTCCCACTAACTTCCGTTAAATCTCGTCGACGAGTGAGTTATGGCATTTTAGTTTAATTATGCTGATTACTGACATCAGTATGTCTGCAACAACAAAGATCCAGTGGATGGACTAGCATTAGCCCGCGTTAAGATAGACATTTCCTACCGTATATGGCGATCGGCTTTCCATTGTCCGTTTGTAAGTTGAAGACCGGTTCTTACAGACGGTCACTAGTAATCGCGTAGATGCATGACTGAGCACCTTCAGCTATAGTTTGCTCAGTATAACCTAGGAGATCAGCCAAAATTCGGAAGACGGAAACATTTATTTTTGGGATTTGTTTACGGCTACAGTAAACATCACCTGCTTATCGCTCACATAATTATCGTAAACAGTAGTCAGAGGATTTCAATGACTTGACTCATAATCGTTTGTTGTGGCGTAGATGCACCGATATTTTGTCTTCATCGAACTTCGCGATTCTTAAATCCCCATGACTTCGTTTTTAGTCATCTTATTTCCCACTCTATTTCTTCACTTAAAGTAGACAGGTAACTCACTGGACCTACTGATACTGTTCAACTAAACTCGGTCGTTAAGAGACACTCACTACCACCCTAAAAAGTCAAGAGAACCGCGCAATCGACTGCCTACTACCGATCGAATTGCATCTATGGAGCCTGTTACCCATCAACTGGTGAGAACAACACAAAATAACATCAGCACCAAGTTAGTGTGAGTCTCTCCTTGTTTATTGCTTGTTAGCTTTTTACTCTTCTGCACACTATATTGACTAGCAATTAATATTATTTCTCCACTTGTTACCTTATCTACAACCCATATACTTCCATACTTTTTCGCCCGCTTTAATGAACTACTATCCTACATTGCACCCCTCCTAATGCTTATACTCTAA